TACGACCCTGCAGGTGCAGTGCCAGGTATAGCACAAGAAAACACCGAATAACTGACTGCAAACAGTCCCAGTCACACACTAGATGTTAACTATGACGATGATGCACTTTCAGAAAATTACATTCACTCTATTCCACATTTATAGGCTCTATAAACAAACACTGTGATGATCAACTTACAATGTTGCCACACTTTAGAAACTACTGAAATAGGAATTAGAGGCACCAAAAAGGGATTGAAGATCTCAACGCCATCCATGAGACAGCAGCAGAACCAGACATTCTAACTCTTTTTAAGCTAAATTTCTAAATTCAGTTTTGTGGTCTAACACTGTCTCACAGATGCCACTAGCATCTTTCAGATCCCTTTTTGGGCATTGGAATGCAGTATATGGTTGACTATCTTTAAGTAGGATCCGTTAATTAATGACCGCTGCGAAATCACTTCATAGGTGGTGTATACGCTGTGTGGAGTACTTTATTTTATACAGAAGCAGCCGCGCAGGCAGAAAGGTAAATACCTTCGCAGCGCAACTGCTATAAGGACGTTAGAGACACTTTGTTAATCGATAAGGTTAGTTGAAGTGGGGAAAACCTCCTCAAGCAGATTGTCCCACACTATCGACTATATAGAATGGAGCGGTCGTAGCGGCCAGTTCAGGATGGACAAGGTTCGACACGGTTAGGATGGGAGGCCGAAGTCTGTCGGAACTATCTGTCTCTCGGGAGGCAACATCATGCAAAGGAGCTCTGAGGAATAAAACCCGCTGATATAGCGATAGAATAGAGCCAGATCGCCGACCGCCTGCTGGTGTGAAAGTGACCTGAGACCATGTAGTCTGAGCTGCAATACCCCAAACATGTGGGCTCAAGGCTAGGACTTATCAGAGCTTTGTACAAGGAGGTTACTATGTGGAGAAAAGTACTTCTTAGCCCTAAATAAATAGCCTAGCTTTTTACCAGCAGCTACAACGATTGTATAGATTTGTTGGTGCCAGATCCAGTCCTCGGTGATCTGAACTTCCAGATCTCTCGTCAGAGAGGAAGTTGATTCTAGTCTTCTCTCTAGTTCACCGGCAGAGATCGACTTGGCACCCTGAATTCTTGTCATTGTGGATCAAATTTATATTACAGGAGAGGAGATCGTCGATATGTTGGAGTCAAGATCGATTCCTGCAAAGATTCTCTCTGAGGCTATACGATGGAAGTTGATGGAAGAGTAACGACATGAGACTCATCGTAAGACTGGGTTAGTTTACTCCACAGCTGCGTGCCGTAAGCTAGGAGGTCTCCTGTTGATCGCTGGTTGATACTGCCTGTCGCTAATCAAGCCGTGATGGTCTCATACGACATACTTCTCTATCACCTTACGAATAGAAAGCCGAACTGTGGATCTGTAGTTGTAAGAGTCGGTCTTTGACCCTTTTTTTCAGGCCATGACCACAAGCTTTGATGACGTCGAGCGACAGTAACACCCGTCTTACGACCTTTAGGAAAATATAAAGGTAATAAAATAGCTTGTTACTTTTCCTGCCTTTTAAGTAATAACAGTACCGGACTAGTGTATATCCTGATTGGTTTAATCACCGACGTACGTCACAGCTGGATCTACGTACGCCGCTTCACCACTTGACCCCCTCTAGCGGTGGTGGCACTAATTAAAAATTTCCACCGCATCATTAGTTTTTTCCTTTTGTCTCCGGCGGTCGAGTAGGCCATGCGAGTGGTGGCTTTATCCCCTCTGAAGTTGGATTAATTAGAGGACGTATATTAGAATCGACTGAGAGCACGGACGGAGAAGGGTATTGACCGGATCGGTCCTTACAAAGACCCTTGTATGCAGTCAATGAGATCGGCGTTAATGTCGGCTGAATAGGAAAGTCCACATCGTGTCGTGAGCAGTTTAATCTCGGGATTGTTCGCAATAGGGGCGAACACATGCAGGCTCGGGAAAAAGCGTTTGTTAATGACCTCGAGCACGTACATGTCGAAGAGGGAAACAGATACTCCCTACTAATTCTATAAACGAGAAGGTGTGGATGTTTGTTGCTCAATGACACTAGAATAGCGGAACTGATCTAAATGAAATTTGGTACGGAGATATATACTAAATGACATAGAAGATGCAACCCCGACTAGGAGTGCTGTAATTTTGAGCATTTTTTTACAAGTTTTAGGTCTACTAATAGATAGAAAGTGAAGAAATTTCGCAAAATAGCTGAGATATCCCACCTTAATGTTAATAATGTGTTGAAGCTTCTCTGTTCGCTACACATTCGCTAAATCGTCGTTTATTTACTCTTACCGCATTTCGACATAAATTTTCTTAGCGTGATCATTGTGGCTTAAACTTGTTTGGTATTTTGTTTCACTTCAAGCAACATCTATATTCCTTCTGTATGATATTCTAGAGAATTGTTTAAAGCACGGGTAACACAAGCTATTTATTAAATTTTTAGGGGCATGTATAATTGAGGCCAGCTTCCACTATTTGGGATGGCATTGCTTTTTTAAACAAATATTCATTATGTGAATAATATGAGATAACGTTATAGAAAGTCGTACTTTGATCATAGCTAGTGATGCAAGACTATGACCTATACTTTTCAGTACTTCCACTCAAGCGGTGCCACAGGCTTAGGCTAGTACAGACGAATAATTCAAAAGCAACAGCACGTAGCTGTTCGTAGTTTTTTTAGAATGGAATGCAAAATTAAGGTGGTATAGTTCTAATGCGACAATGTTAATTTACCATAAATCCATATGTTATAACACTTCAAATATCACAAGAAATCTACAATTCTACTGTAGCTTCAACAAAGTAGGTCATCTAGTGTTTGAAATTTGAAGTAGTCGTTGTCATCAAAAGCTAAAATATTTGCGAAATGGGACTATCCGATTAATTTTTGATTCGCCCTTTAGGCAAAAAATGGCTCGGCCAAAGATAAGCATTTTACAGAAAAATCGCATTTTCAGATGAAGATCATTTTCACGTCGAAGGAAGGAAGACGACTTTTTAATCCGATTTTTGAATTGCCTAATGTTGGCATAACTGGCAAAAGCCTCCCAGGTAGACTGCTTCACAGTCTCGACACCCTAGAAACGAAGAAGCTGTCGTACCGGCCTATGGACATAGCAGTAGAAGAGAGCAAGATCGCCGACAGTCCGACGGCGACGGTGCGAAAGGGCCCAGAGACTGTCCGTTGAAGTGCCATTGATCAGTTGAACAACCCTTCTTTAAATAGCATCGAACATGGACAATGTAGTCGGGGCGCCAGAACCCCAAACTCGAGGCTAAACGTTATCTAAAGAGAATGAGGAGGTTATGTGAAGAAAAGTACTTCTTGCCCCAAGCAAATAGCCTATCTCTTTCCCAGCAGCTGCCGTTGCTGACGAGATATGTTCGTGCCAGATCTTGACTCCGACCAGCCGAAATGAACGGCTCTTGTTAGTCAAGGTACAGGACTGTGTTTTGGGAGCATTAAGCTGCACCAAATCGTTGTGTTTCCAAGCGGTGATAACTTCCAGGTTTCGCGTCAAAGTGGCAGTTGCTGCTAGTCTTTTCTTCAGCTCATCAGCGGAGATCGGATTGTCATAATGCAATCAAATTATTTCAGTTTTTAACTAAATTAGATGTAACGTATCCATTGGATATAAACTACAATTCTGTACGACACACTCGTAATTGTTTTATTTCATATATGTATTTTTCTCATAATTGGATAGCTGCTTCAAAGCGATTGTATGCTCCAAATAGTAATTAAATATAAATGATCATTAACAGTCAATTGTCTGTTGGATTATAGTCTCTACAGCACTTGGCTACCAGCCATAACAATGGTTTTATGAGGAATCAATATGAACGTAATACGCGTTTCATTTCCAGGTATAATCTTTGGTATACGATTGTTATGATGATCTGTACTGTTTTTTAATCCTTGTCGTCATTATGGTCTACCGAATTAAAACTTCGTATCTCACAGCCGCAAAATGAGATGATTTTTTTCACGAATATCCATTACGTTTTGATGTCTACTCATGTGAACATATGAGTAGCAGGTGGCATCTTTGTACTAAGGTCCCTAGTGTTAGCAAATGATGAATCGGCCAGGTTATTACACATGAAAAACCTATAGATTTAAAAAAGCAGTAACATGTCTACTTGTGCACTAGGGAGCCGCTAGTGTGCCGCTTGTTCTTCTCGCTCATACTAAGTGAGCCTGAAATATATGTCATCTAGTTCAAGGGTGACATTTTATAGAAAAACCTACATAATATCAGAAAACCTACATTATGTCATAAAAAATCGACAAGTGGGCATGTTACTTTTCGAGAAAGTGTATTTTAACGCGTCTACCTCAAACGGAGGATTATGATTTTTACACGTGTGTATATCGGTGGACAAAAATTCCATGTCACACTAGATATATGGAAATTTATAAACTATTTTTAAATAATTTAATTTATAAAACGCGGATTTTAAAGGAAAAATTCAACTTTTGAGTTTTTATTTCACGAGCCGCTGATCAGACAGCTTGAGGATTTTAAAATTTAAATTGTCTCTAGATTTTTCTTGACAACCAAAAGAGTGAAATTTAAACGGAAACCCCACTATGAAATTTCTATTTCAATGTCTAAGCACAAACGGCTTAATAGCTCCGACATTAAGAAGTGTCGTTAATTCCTCGTGATAGCACGTTTTAAAACTAACTGATAAGCTGCATGAGAAACAGCGCAGTGCACTTAGTCACATGCCTAATGAAGAAACTGATTTCACGATAAAATATCTAATGACATGGAAAACAGACTTATTTCCTAAAGACCAAAATACGCCAGAAAAAGCTTCTAGTAACCCAGAAAAAACGCCAACCATGACTATCAACATGAAAATCACAGGATAAGCCTCTGATGCCTCATTATATTGTACACATTAATTATAATGTAAAGTATATAAATCTTTCACTAAAAATAAAATATAACTCAGGATCCATACCCAAAGTGACTAGTTAGATACTGATGGTGGTTCTGACGCAGACGCGGATGATGCATAATCCTTCCTAGGTATCAGTTCAATAACAGGCGATTTATTTTGATTTCCAATCAACTTCGCCAACATTTTCTCTACATTCTGCAATTTTATGGAGGCATCTATCGGATCGTGAGGATCGAACACCTTGGAGGTATCGTGCAACATAATTCTTGACCGCTCGGTATATTTTATGTGCACGTTTCTATCTGAAACATTCCAGAACGACTTTCTTTCGTTTTCCCAATATATAAACATCGATATGCTCAATACTTGCTTTGGTCCTGGTTCCTCATATTGACGAACAAGCTTGGTATATTCGGACATTAGCTCCAAACCTTTAGCAATAGCTTCAAGGTTCCTCATAAGGAGGATATCAGCAGTAAAAACGTTCGTGTCGCACTCCTCAAGAATCAGGAGCACTTCAGTGATAAATGGATCAGCAATGTCAGGTTCGCCATTTACTAAGTAATCTTTTCCATACTATTGACAAATACACCGGCATACTGAACTTTTTGTTTGTCTCTCAGCTCGTTCAATATCGCGAAGGCAGTATCAAAACCGTTATTGCAAAGACGTGCCTTCAGAAGTGGGCTCTTCACTTTGCAAATGCCTCCGTATGATTTTCTCGGTGTCTGATGTGTCAATCTGCAGCTTAGAGTAGCTATAGCTTCTCGAGGTCTGTTCAGATTGATCTCACAAGTAGCTTTGATCAAGGAAGCCTCCATCTCTCCGGTTTTATAACAACCGGACCCCAGCATTCCGTTTGGCTTGAGTAGCAAGCCCCAGTGCTTCTTTTGGATAACTATTCACCCACTGTCTAGCTTTTCTGATAAAACACTGATACAGCAGAAGGTAAATCTGCATGAATGTCTTTCAAATTTGGAAATAGTATCTTCACCATCCAGGGTTCGTTCACACTCATTTCCTTCGCTACAAGCAACTGCCCTTCTGCAGTAAAGTCCTTTAGAGAGAATCGACTAAATGCTTCGTACTTTTTGATTCAGTATTGGAAACGAATCTGAATAAAATAATTACAGTTCTTCGCCCAGCCACAACCAATCTTTGTCGAAACAAGCGAAATAAACACCACATTTCAAGAACTCTCTGCACGCCTTAAAAGGGTCATCTAGGATCAAATACATTTCACACATTTTGATAAATTTAAATAGTTTTTCAAATTTATTTTCTACTAGATTTTAGTATAGGTTAGTCATTGCCCTCTTCTAGTTTGAATATCTTATTAATATATTCTATAGTTTTCTTGTATCCGGATCTCTTGGATAGTATAAACAGGAAGTTCTTTCCGCATTCTGTGAACCATAAGTTTGCTCTCTCTCTTTGTCTATCTCGCTTCCTCTTTACTCTGCTCTACTCCGACATGGTTTCTTTGGTCACTTTCATTAGCCCGCTTTTGGTTATATGACGAAGTTATCTCCTTAATGTTTTCTACAGGTAGGTTTGCGCCATTTTGTGAATCAATTCTTAGATATTTGATCAAATGTAAATGTTACTTCAGTTGAAATTGGTGCTGTCGTTATGACAGGTCAATATGCCAAGCAACAATATATAATGATTTTCTAATAGTCCAGGATCCGTATCTAGTCCCCTATTTTTCAAAAGGGTGGAGAGGGGGAGAGAAAGTGGTGTAGCTCTCTTCACTAGGAAAGGATTTCAAATTCTGATAACTTTTTGCATTTGTCAAACAGGTTTGTCCATTTCGTCCATTTCGTAAAAGTAGTACGTTCCCACTTGAGGTTTCAAAGAAAAGGGATGAGTCAAGTCTTTTCAAAAGGAGGAATCGAATCTTGACGCAGATTTACTTAAGTACAACAAATCGTCGACCTCATCATATCAAACTGTATAACATAAGTAATAAAAATAATAATAATAGTAATAATACTATTATTACTACTATATATACTATAGTAATAATAATAGACGTGGCCATACCACACTGTCACTCTGCTAGTCATGGTCATAAAATCCACTGCTATTTGCAATTAAATCCTTACCTACCGGTATGCCGAGCATCGGCAAGCATCTTAGCATGAAGAATGCAGAAAGCGGTCATCCTCGGTTCCCTCCGTCTACTTAGGGCACATGATATGCGGACCAACTAGTTGCTTACCTCACGATGTGAGGAGTGGCTAATCGTTAATGAAACAGCAGGTTGGTATGTCGGAGCGCAGGTTGCCTATTTAATTATAATAATAATAATAATAATAATAATAATAATAGCATGTATTTCCTAACAGATTCAGAATCCCTTAACAGAGCAAAATAAAATTTAAAAAAATCTATCCTATCCACAGGTATTTTGTGACATATTCTTAGTAGCACACTTCAGTTCCTTGAGTAAACATGCGATATCTTATTTTAATGTGAACACATTACTGGTAATGGTGGTTTTTCAACAAAAGGTTTGTCCTAGTAGCAGTAGAATAAAATGCTATGATTGTCTAGGGTTAAGCTGGGGTACATTGAATTTAATACGCGATAAAAGATCCAGACAATCAATAACATCAATCTGTGAAGGAATGAAAGTGTCCTTCTGAGCTCCAAACTATCAATGTCAAAAATATTTAACATAAGATTATAGACAGTTCCTTGTACTAGATATTTCTCGTGCTTTTTACACACTACATATTTCAAAAACTTTCTTTGTAGTTTATCCATTGTCTCATTGTGACACTGCTAGTATGGGTTTCGGACAATCGAATAGTACTCCAGTTTAGAACGTACATAAGAAAAAATAGACTTTTCAATGTTGCTTTACTACGTCAAATGATCGACAAATACTAGCGATGCATCCATACATTTTGAATGCTTTAGCAATTTTGTTATCAATATGATTAATGAAACTGACTTGCGGATCGATGTCACTCCGTAGTTATTTCGAACATAATACATCGGACTTTTGTCACTTAAATTTTCCAGTATCACTCGGAGATTCTTAATGACAAATCATCCACACCACCCCTACAATCCCCAGCTCCCAATTTTCAACTCGCAAACAAGATTTATAAATATGTCCAAAAGCCTTTGAAGTGTCAAACAACGAAATTTGAACGATTTTAATTTCGTTCCTCTTTTTGCCCCCAGTTCAGCGACCAGTGGATCGTCCTTGACATAGTGCTACGTAACCTTGTGTGAAAAACACAGTAATCAAGAAAACGACCTGCAGTTTGGTTCAACAAGCATAAAAGTATCCTAGAGCAGCAAACTTTCAAATTTTCTCCACTCCCTTCGAAGCGATTCACACATCTTCTCTGATCTTATTACTGATATTATTTATGTATGATAAAATCGGCCTTTCAATTTTCCGAACGTATTCCCGAAGCAGCGTATATACCATCATATTCCGATGTGATTCCAAAAATCCAATATCGTTCACTTCTTTCACTGCACGTCCGTATGCATTTTTCGTATTTTCACCCTGGGAATTTCTCATTCTCGCGTGAAAATATAGAAACATCCTGCAAATATTGTTGTTTAGTTCGGCAATGGAGCACTTCGCTCCCGAAGAAACGTCTTCATAATTTATGGGGCCGTTTTGTTGGAGATCTTTCCTCCTCCAGTTTTCCAGCAGCGGCGTAAACAACATGGGATTTTGGGATGAAGTTAGTACAAGGACGCTATTATATCGATCGCCATATTTTTGTGGAAATTAGATCCCCTACTACAACATAGAACTTACCAGCATTTTTTAAGTTATACTGCTTGGTCTACAACAAGGCTTAATATACTAAGTGACATAGAAAAAAAACACCCAGTAATAATGAATTTTATACTACAATTTTTTGTACACATGTATCTTAGAGTTAAGTAAGTAATTGTAATTTCAAGACAATCCAGACGCTAAAATAAATGTAAACAATTGATAGTTTTTTGAGCCTCCACGATGTCTTATGCACTCAGAAACACGTCTGAGCATACTCCTAATCAGATTCCTTGATTGCCTCTTGAGGTATCATCCCAGACTACTTGTACCTCTCGCCGGAATGCTGCTGGTGTCTGTGGAAGATGTAGGAAACGGACTAATATTTTTTCCATATTGTCACAGATACAGAGATATCTGGGGACCAGGACAACAGATAAGCTTGGTTGTCTTCAAAATGAACCAACGTAATTCTGGCTATATGTGGCAATGCACGACCTTGTTGGAAAAATGGGTCAATGAGCGTACGTATATAAGGCAAAACATGTGGTTTCCTTACCTTTTCGATGTAACACACGGTGGTCATGCTGCCTCGGATGGTCTCCAAAGGTAACCTGCTTCTATAAGCACATATACCACAATTTCAACAATGTGGAGCACATGCGTTTCCAAAGAAAATTGAGAACCTCCTATCAAACTCGCTAAGCTGTAGAAAATTTTTCTCGTTTCCTCGCTAGGCATAATGAACAGATTAAAGCAGATCTTCAAAACGCATTATATGGTAATCGAATGCCAATTATTGCAATAAAACAGCTACTACTCAGCTTACTTACTTTTTTATAATATCAGAAAATATGACAAAAACCAGTTTAACGATATGGTTGATCGTTTTCTGTTCTAACCTAGATAAACGTATGCCTAGAAAATCTTTATAACAAATAAAGTGTTACTATTTTTTTATGTCACTTAGTATAATATATGCTCAAAATATTTTTCTCCAGTTTTCTTGGAGAAATGCTTGCTAACAATCTGGCAGATGTGTCGGCCGCCTATTCGGAAATAACTTAAATCATCCACCTTGAGATGGCATATCCGTCATACAGAGAAAGCGGCTTAATCGGGATTTCCAAATGCTGGCTTTACAAATTCTATGCCACTTTTTGCCAGCAAAACATCCAGACATAGAAACTTTCATGGGCTCCCATATAGAAAAATTCAAGCAGGGCACATTTGGCGGTGGGAGGGGGAGGTTCAGGCAATTGAAAGGATTGAATTGAAAGCTCTTTATTTGATAAAAAAATCTCTAAATTCCTTTTTTACGAGCTGCAGCTTAAGGCCCGTATCCTCAGTCGTCCCTACAATTGTAAGGCGCATTTATGGCCTCCTTGATTGTCATAATCCTTTCTCTCCTTCAAAAATTTCTAGATTACACTTGTCCCGTGTCAGCGTCAGCGCTCTCCTATTGTAAAGATATGTTTTCTTTTTAAATTGTAGGAAATTTTAGGCTGATAAAACATGATATAACTCAAAAGCAAGCACAATTTGATGCAAATAGATGTTTGTGACATAACCTCAAAATAGAGCGCTGACACGGAGAAGTAGAAAACTATGACAATCAAGCAGGCCATAAAGGCGCCCTACAGTTGTAGGGGCGACTGACGATTCGGGCCTAAGCGGCTTGATGGGTTTTCACATATGATGTGTCATTAGATTTTGACAACATGAATGACACTGGGTCTACCTACTAAAGCTTTATTGAATCAAAATGGTGGATTTCAATTGAAAAAGTTCCTATTCCATCAGTTCGATGAATTTTGACATCTGAGGTGTCCTCAGATTCGTATTAGTACCACAATTGATTCTTCCAACTTTTCAGTTTCAGCGGGCAGTTTATTTGTATTTTTTAAATATGTACAAGTTTGTTTCTTTATGGTCTAGAGCGGCTGGGTGTGGATAGGGGGCAGCACATCTTCATAATTCAGATCTAGCAAAGTAATTTTTGCGGATGTTTTGAAAGCCAAAGAAACATACAGGCCACTCGTTGCTTAAGAAACGGGTACCTTATTAGGTATATCTTACTTCTCAAGCAGAATCCAGAGAAGAATATGCCCTTTTTGGCGTTCATGCAGACTTTCTTAGAAAATCACACTGTTTGATGAGACAAACTGATATCGAGACTAGAAGCATCTTTAGCGAAGTTGTTGTGTAATAGCGTGCAATTGCAATAGATATTTCTGAAGGAAACTTCACACAGACTTAGCGTTCAATTCCATAATTGACACCCATCGTAACGATGCAGCACCGACGGTACGAAGAATCCCTGAAGAAGTACGTCAGAGCTTGCTCCCGTTCTTTAAACTCTTATAGTTGCCTCAAGAAACCGGCATTTTTCCAAGGGACTGGAAGTACTCACAGTAAAGTACTTAATTCATATTTGTGAGGCTCATGTCATTGTTCTTGATATCACAAAAACTTTCAATCAGCTTTTGCATGACACCCTTTTCTGTAAACTTCCATCCCATAGCCTCACAGAGAAGCTTTTCGTTGACTTTCGTTACGGTCACAAGATATTCATTGTAACTTTTGGGTTCTTCATAAATTGAATATAAAAATCTAGTTGGCCTCATCAGTATAAAGTATGTTTTAGTTCCACCACTGATTTTTCTCTCACTGTTTTCCGATATTTTTCTGGCACGGTGCGAAGCGCTAGGAGATCTATGGTTTCTGATAGCGAGAATATTTGTAGTGCGAGAGGCATCTACCGAAAGATAACATCAATAGTTGGATGGAATTCAAGGGAAATGACGGGCTGTTATGACGCTATCGTTAAGAGGTATTTATTTGGTACGTGAAGTGGAAGTATTATGCTTCCAGCGGCAGCGATAATATTTCACTATATCGTAATCACTTTAAAGTTAGGAACACAAGCAAGGAGCATATTTTCTGTATTTTAAATCCTGTCGAATGTGCTATATTGATTGCGTGTGCTTTCGCCATTTTTAAAATGTGATTTTTTTGTGCGATTATCAATATCAATATCAATAACCTTCATTTCCATACAGACAATATATAATTGTATTGGAATTGTCAATTTTTCGTTCGCTACAAACCTACATCTAATCTCAAATTGCAATGTTCAAAAATTCATCAACACGATAAAAGCACTTGTTTATCAAAAATTGCTTCAACTGGAACTTGAAGTCGTTAATATTTTTAACCGAGGTAATGTAGCATGGTAAATTATTAAAAAGAAGCGGACCAATTTTATTAGGTGATCGAAATGCCGCTTTTGATTTACTGAAGTTTACATATAAATTATTACAAGTCCTTATATCATAATTATGCATATCACAATTCCGCTTGAACTTTTCATTATTATTAAAACATGTAAGCACAATTCATATATATATATACAATGAAGGGACACTTAAAATGTTGAAACTTATAAAATATTTTTTGCAACTTTCTGTTGGCGAGATGCCTGCTAATGATTGGATGCATCTTTTTTGAGACACAAATACATCTTCAGAGCGCGTTGACCAACCCCAGAAACATACTCCATATCTTAATCTCGAATCACATTAGCAAAATAAACTTATATCAATTGTTCAGCTGTTAAGATGGGTTTTAGTTGCCTCAACACATAGCTTTGAGAGTACATTTTTGATGTGAGAAATTCGCAGTGGGCCTTCCAATTTAAGTTCGAATCAAAATGAACTCCAAGAAATTTCACTTCTCCTCTAAAATTGAGTTGATCGTCACCCAATCTAACTTGAAACCCTTCTGCAGTTTTTTGAGCATGATGAAAACGAATAAGCGTTGTTTTGGAAGGATTCAAGTAAAGTGAGTACTGGTTAAACCATGTATTGATATTCCTAATTAAGTTGTTACATTTATCTTCCAAAATTATATTTGAATCACTTGATATTATGGCAGAAACGTCATCAGCATATGCTGTAAAATGGGTATCTGGATGAACATTATCGAACTGATTAATGTATAAGAGGAAAAAGATTGGTCCAAGAATAGAGCCCTGAGGGACTCCAATCGAGATGTCTAACGTAGGGGAGACTCGGGCAAAAGGAACCACTTTAAGTTGTCAACTTTTTAAATCGTTTACTAAATTCTAATTATTATTTTTCTTATGGGCAATAAAACTCTATTACATTTAGAAACATAATATAATTATGTTACGAATATATAATTATTGTAATATATCTTAAAAAAACATTAAAACAAAAGTTGCTTTTGATTCCTTTTGCCCACATATGAGGGCAAGAAGAACCAATGCCTTGGGCAAAAGGAATCAGCATATGAAATACATATGGGCAAAAAGAACATTACTTCAAACATAACTAAAAGTAGAATTCTATTAACAATTCTTTATTTCAAGGAACTCAAAACTGATAACTTGCATTTGTCGCAAATATAGACACCTCTGTTGTAATCAGCCCATAATTGATGAGCCCAGTTTTGACACATATTGCACTCAATCCATGTTTCGCCAGGTCTAGAGTTGCCAAAAGTATCTCCACAGACGAGGCATGGTACATTTTCTTCATTGGGGTCCGTTTTATGTACCGGTGGCTGCGGGTACTGCAATTTAGGTTGATCCAAATTTGAACTGCTAGGTTTCTTTGCACGTTTCATTTCATCTGGCAATTTGGTCTTGGGTAATTTTTTATTTTTCTTATTTCTCAACTCTTCTCTAATAGGTGTAGATGTTAAAATTTCTGACTTCTGTGGCAAAGGCTGAATTGCAGTTAATGGTATAAAATAATTTGAATTTTCGTAAGTGGACTGGAAGGAGCACGATGGAATAGAAGAAGAACGATTCTCTTTCCCATGATTCTCATTTTCAAGAGAGCAGAGGGATATAGGCGAATGAGGAGGTGTGCGATGTTCGACGTTACGCTGTGTGTCTTCAGCAACTTCATGCCTCGAACATGACGGAATAGGTGAACTTGGAGATGCAGATTGACCATTACTAGCGGCAAGGTTTTGAGCCTTGTTGGCATCATATTCCTTTTCTGTGACTTGAGAAGGAACAAAATCCAAGTCACTAAAAACATCAATATTGCCATCGAGTATTCCTGTCTTTTTGAATCCACTTATTTCATTTTGAGGAGTAGCGCCTTGTAAATAAGCAGATCCAAGTATTGCTCCTAATTCGTAGAAAGTAATATGTTGTGCAGGATGTTGCTTTTGCCATTTATCAACCTCTCTTTCAAAATATGTTCCAATGGGCCCATATACCGCAACATCAAGCGGCTGTAATTTGTTTGTGGCATGTGGAGGAACAGAAAGGATTACTACATTGTTTGCAGAAGCATAGTCCAACACCTCCAAAGATCGATGTGAAATATGATTATCCAATATAAGTAAACATTTATGTTCTGGAGATGGTCTAACAGATTTTACAAAAAATTTCATCCATTCTAAGAAGATCTCACTAGTTATCCAACCATTGTCGCTTACAAAATCTACAGTTCCAGGTGGAGTGCCATTTAGGTATCTTGGATTTCTCTTCTTCCGGGGAAATACGAGTGCCGGAGGGATAAATTTTCCAGTAGCGGAACAGCAACATATGGCGCTTACCAGCTGCCCCCTCTCGGCCGATGAAATTGAGCCCACTTGTTTTTTTCCCTTCAAAGAGATAACTTTTGGTGGCCGCTTTGCAGACGTTTGAATACCGGTCTCGTGCACGTTGTATATGTTGTCCACATCGAAAACATATTTTTGTCGAATGTTATTTAGATTATCAAAAAATAACTGCACTTGTGGCCTGTTAAATCCACAAGCCCGGGCAATGCTTGTAGATTGTGGAGTTCTAAGGCTTAATTCGGGATGTCGCCTCATAAAATTTGAGTACCATTGCTCCCCAGCTGATCCGTTACGAAAATTATGTGGCACATTATACTCGAATGTTAAACTGCATAAGTCTTGTTTTGTGGGCCCATAAAAACGGGCGTCCATTTCTTGAATATGTTGTACAAGTTGCTGTTCCATATCGCCAGAAAAAACTGGTCTAAACCGTCCTAATTGTTTTTTGGAAGACTGCTTCAAAAAATGTTTTCGTAAGGTGGGATATTGAATTCGAAACTGCAGAGCGGCACCGCGAATAGATGTTCCTTTTTGGTTAATCGCATTTATTGCGCGATTCATTATATTTTCGTCCCATCCTTGGGCTCACTCTGTTTTTCGCTTATAATTGAAAACCATTATTCAGAAACAATATTCAATTTTGAAAAAAAATCAATGTTCAACGAAATAGCGGGCAAAAGGAGCCCGGCAAATAGAACCGGTTCTTCTTGCCCGGTTCTTCTTGCCTAAAAAGTATGCAACACAAAATACCTATTCGTTATGAATGTCAAACGCTTGAACAGCGCCACAATTTATGAGGTTAGAGTCTACGCAAAACTTCATTTATCGCCACAAAATTTAATGCTTCAACTTATAACAACACTCAAATAATTTCCATCTATTTAAACCATGATCAACAATTCAGGACTGATACATTTTCTAAATTGGCTGTAAAAACATGAAAAATAAGCTCACCGGTATGGGTATCCAAACAAACACTGGAGAATCGCGGTACCTGCCAGAAGTAAATAGGAGATATAGGCGGGAATTTTGAAACAAAAAAATTTTGAGCTGGTTCTTTTTGCCCATATGGTTCTTTTTGCCCGAGTCTCCCCTACTTGACACAAAGTTTTTCATATTGTTCCCTGCATCAAGATATTCTACTGAAACATATTGTTTTCTTTGGACTAAAAACGATCTGGCCCATTTAAGAGACTGACCGATAAAACCATATTTAACAACAATCTCATGATGTTGATAGTATTGAATGCATACTAGTTTTTTAGGCTCCTTTATTATCAGTACGACTCATTTATTTTTCCATTTGAAAGTGACGTGATAGATATCAATTATCAAAAAAGGGGGTTGTTTCCTATTTAAGGCCTCCTTACCGGTTATCATATATGTCACTTGATACGGAATATGATTTCTACTATCAGAACAACCAAAATATACCGGTCCTTACCTCAAGAATCATATTTCGTCGCTCTAATCTAATTCAACAAAGGCACCGAATAAACCTCGTTGTATTGATGAACTGTAATTATTCCGCTTAGAAGATCATCGGAGCTGCAGCTATATAATTAATGGATACATTATTTGATATGGTACACGTCATTAATTTATTGCCTAAAGGACTATAAATATTTAATTTATCATGCAGCTGCAACGGTCGACATCGATGTACATATGCTATATTTTTTCTGGAGGAAACATGACCTAGGAAACACTTTTGAAACCTGAGTAGCAGATACACTGAAATATAATAGTTAATCTGAAACAAGTTCCACCTAGAAGAAGTATCCACAATCCAGATATTCTAAGAACATAAAAGCGGCTTTAGATCAGTACTCGATGTACAGTAAGTACGAATTGGAATAAGATAAACACTCCAGATCTTGTCTGGGCGCCTGAGCTTCCTTCAGTAAGAATATTGAATAATTACAAATCCTATGTAGCTAAACAAACTATACAGCAATTTTTACTTTCTGAACTTTGGACGTATGTAACAGTCTTCGTCTACTCAATTCATACACAGAGATTGATTTGACCCTAGTGATGTCCGTTTACAAAGTGATGTCATTCATTGCTCTGAATTGTAGTAAGATAAATTTGACGTGGAAGTACTGAAATGGATCTGCTCGCTTTCCATGCCTATACGGCGCCGTTTCATACTTTATTGTAATCATCAGTACGATATAGGTCTTGTAGATAGGTCAACGTAAAGCAAACTAGGTACATTGTGGTCGACTGGAAAGCTCAGTAAGTAGTGCAGTAAGTTGCAGAATAGCTCCTGATGCCTTCTGGCAAATCTCAAACCCGTCAGATAGAATGTCACTAAGGTTTGATTTTACTTGACCCGCGGAAATCGCAATTTGCGCCGATGACACAAATTCGACCAATGAGAATGCCTTTTTGAAGTAATGGTTCTAATCAGTATGATAGATTTCTTATAAAATGTCTCTCAAACTGGAGAAAAATTATACGATTTGTGTAAGATGGGCCTCTAGTTCTAACATTGGATCAAAAAAAATCACCTGATTTGGCCACAAAAGCTTATTAATTCATTTAACCACGGACACAAAATTTGAGACCCAGATGCAAAATCCATCACTCAAAAGGAAAGATTTGCTATATAGTCGCAAGTGGATCACACCTGATACAATGGATTGTTATAACAACAATTACGGAACATTTTATTGAAAATAACAGTGTCACTGCTGACCTGACAGAAATAGTTTAAAAAAATGATATATTATTTACAACCTATCCAGATGTCCATTGAGTTAACGACAATCCCCTTTTTGATTGATGGAGGTTGTGACATAGTCGTAAAGTTTATGATGGGGTTCAAATGAAAGATAGGCTTTTGTCGCTGAACCTGGTGATTTATGAAGTATTTCGTGATTTAAAATAGGAATTAAGGACCCATCTTACGCAAATCGTATTTTTGTTCTAGTTTGAGAAATATTTTACAAGAAAGCGTCAGTATTCAGTAGATCCATTACCTGAAAAACGCGTTCTCATTGGTCAATGTCAAAGATTTAGTTTCAAGGGGTAATGAATTATACAGATAAATCGCATTAAAAGCCTTTATGGAAAAATGTAGTTCTGTGGTTAGGCATGGTGAATGTATTTAGAAAGCGGATATCTCTAAGATGAACACTATACGATTTATTACGTAGCGTTCCCTTTAAAAACGTAGCTAATGAGGTAATTTGGAGTTTATGAACATAACAAAATAAGTGAAATTTATATAATTTTGTAACATTCTACCAACCTAGTTTTTGAAAAGATATCGAAGTATGATCATACTTTTTCAAGTTTTCCACTGATGCACAGCAAGAATTTTGAATTTGTTGCAAGCGTTTTATAGATACCGAATCTAAAAATCCCAACCACTATAAAATAAAATCCTCCTTTATAGATTTTACGTTAAGTTGATCATATACGCAGATAGAAATTCATGGAACAAACAAGCGTTTGTTGGCTGGTATCGATTTTCTTCGATATAAAACATTCATTGTACGTTTACATCTACTTTAACGTTCACGATCTGAACTGGAGACACGCCAATCCAAACAGAATGTCAGGAGCATTAGCATACTATTGCTGTGGTAGACAATTTAAACAGGCAAGCCTTCCGTTACGCATGTATGGGATTATTGAGCAGGACAAAGGAAGGAAGGTTTTGAAGTTTGTGTTGAATTCACAAAATCAATGTGTCAAATGTCAGCTTAAAGAATCATTCCATTTATGTTGGAAACCATACAACCAGCTTCTGACTTTCACATTTCGCTATCTTCTTATACAGTGCGACTTAAAAACTGGTCACAAAGTTGCATGCATTCTCTACTTGTCACAATCTTAACAGGGATGTTCCTCGGGGATCGATTTTAGCTTGTTAAACATTAATGACCTCTTCTCTACGATGAACTTGACCCACAACTTTTTAGATGACAGCATTTTGCATTCAGATTGTCAAATCGATCTTTGCGGCTTAGCTGAAGAGGGTAGACTGGTGGCGACTTCCTCTCTGACAAAAACCTGTATACGGCTTGGGTGCGAAACTAACAAGAGCTACGCAAACGCACATCCAATTTCAGTGGATGAGTGTGAAGCTTGTAGAAGCTTATGAAATTAAAAAATATATATCTACGGAGCGGGTGAAGATACTGATTCTGAAAGTTCAGTGAGCATATCACCACCAATAAACACACGTAGTTTTCCGGCCCAAACTAAACCAGGGACGTAGAAACTGGGGTATTTTCTACGTCACTGGCCTTTTAGGAGAAAAGAAGTGCATTTTATAAAATACCATTCAATTTGCCAGACATTTTATCTGTTAAGGAATTTTTGTCAGATTACTTGTTTTGGAGATAATTAGGTTTGAATATTTGAGGTAAAATCCTAAAATATTCTGATGAAAAGGTTTGGCTTCCCCTATTCTGAAAACACCGTGAAGTTTGATATTAGAAATAGTATATGGCATGTGAAGAAAGCTATGGTGCCTCATTACACCATTAATTGAATAATATGCGTGTGTTATTCTCATTCAGTAGCGGAGAAGTTTACCATTCATTAAACATTTCCTTGAACGTCACAAGTTTTGCCGACATATTCATAATTGTTTACAGACAAATAAACTTCAAAACAAAGATAACGTGTATTTCAAAAATAAATAAATAAAGAACTACATGACAACAATCAATATTACATTCGATACAACTTACGTGGTTATTTCTAAGCTTATGAGATATTTTTTTTAACTTCACAAATAAAGCTTCCATGTATCTCGATAGGCCAGCATCTTTGGAACCATATTTATAGGATCTTTTTTGTTACTTCTGGATGTCCTTTCTCTAGAAATATTGGCACGTCTTTCTGTCTCTTAGTTCATTCTTTTCTGTTGAAGCCAATAAGGTACTCTGAAATATCTTCGAGCTAGCAGTTAATACCAGTGTACATAAGTCTGTCACACGTCCAATCGTGCACGACAAATATTCGAAGATAGAAGAGACTGTCAACTATGCGATGTTGGTATGCTACTGTTTGATAGGTTTGAACTTGATGTACAATTTTTGGTTTTTGATCAAAATGCATAATTATAGTTGATATAAACTTTATCTACCTAAAATAAAATGGTTCATATGATCATTTTATCAAAAAATAAATACCTTTATTGCAATGTATAGTTTCGAAAATGTTCCCTGAAGGAAACTAGAATCACGATCACTTTCTCTCAAGCATCCTCACTCCAAGAATTCAGTCAATCTGTCAATCTTTGAAACAATACTTCTAATTCTAGCTCTGTCAAATTCTGTTAATCAAGAACTAGCCGGTGCTTGCTAAGTTACAGTTACTCTTCCAACAGCTATCACATAAACAAGATGAGGCAGCGGATAATTCATCACGGTAAACTCAATAACGACTGTGCGAAATTTCAGTAAAATAATGAGCATATTTAATTAACCCCGCTGTTAACTAAAATATTAACTATCCGGTTAGCTAAAATATTAATTCAGCAATTTGGCGTTTCGCGCAGACCGCTGCTCGTTGTACATTGGCGGAATTATTTGCAATTATATGCACCTAGCTCCGCACGTCTGTCGGTCAGATCATATTTTATTCATCCAGATGGATTTCATTTGCAGACAGGCCTGCGTTTGACGCCTGAACAAAAATGGCGGAAATATTGCTAATGAATATCGATCCCTATTTGTCCACATGCAAAGTCATATATTAA